ATAATTTACTTGAATAGAAATTGTGATTGTTAATTTATGCCAAAATCATGTGAGGTTTTATTAACCTAGACTTAACTTTAACTGTAAAGTTAAATTCAAAATGATTTCAAAACTACGATTATATGTTGGAATGAGAACTTAGCAATTATGGTGATGATTATTGTTATATGGAATGTAATAATCGAAGGCAGAAAATGTAAATGTGATTGAGATTGAAATTGGAGGTTACATGTGATAAATGAAAATGGTTGACTTACTCAAGTGCTTAACTAATCATATGATTTATGATAATCAACTTGTTCTTGTGAATTACAAGCATGTGTAAATGTGTTTGTGAGCATGAGATATTGCGTAATTGTTTGATATATAGGAGTCCACCTAGGAAGAGAAGTAGATAAAAATCCACATGAAATTTTATGGTTGCCTCCAATGCATAAAGGCTAGCCTTGTCCCATTATTTGTCAAGGGACTTGAACCTAATTATCTCTACATATTTGTTGAGAAGATTAGTTTAGAGTTTATGATACCCTAGGGATTCGAGAATGAAGAAAGCCATGGTCTGAGAGTGAGAGTAGTGATCTTTGATCAGGTCACACCTCACAATTGGCAAGCTTGAGTAGTACAATCACACGAACGGAGCCCTAATTGATATTATAGCCCATGATTTCAATCGAAAAAAAATAAGGAGGTTATGAGGAGAAATCAATCATGCCTTTTTTATCCAATGTGTCACATAGTTGATAAGATTATGGTAAGTCATGATAATGATTATGTCATTATCAAATGATTATTTATATCGTGGCAATATGCATTGAGATTGTGGATTAGGCCATTACCACATGTTTTTCTATATTATGGCAATGTGCCCTATAATTAGGTTTATGAAAAATGATAATAAGACAAACTTTGAAAATATGACTTGTGTTATGTGTAATCACAATTTCTTGAGTATTCAATGTGTGACTACATAGAATAGATGTGTCTCGGTTATTAAGTGGTTGTACTCACTCATCTTTTTCAATATTTTATAGGCTTTAACATGGATGCAGAAAAGGAAAAGACTTTAAAGGTTTAGGAATTTGAGTAATGCTTACTGTATAGCCCCTTAACCTCATTAATTTTGTGAAATAGTTAGAATATTGTCAATTAAGATGCATTTTATATATACTTACACTACATTGTTTGTTTATAATCTTGGGATGTATTTCAGGCCCTAAAATATTGTACATAAGTCGATTAAGTATTGGTAGGACTAGAATTACTAGTGTAAGTGTAGGGAATATCGTCATGTTGTTGAATTTGAAATTTAATGATTTATACAATGCTAAAAATCTCCTCCTTCCACTTTTGATATTAAAGGGGCTAAGGAGTAAAAATTTGGCATTGTTAAGATTATATGCATGTGGTGTGTTGTACAAATAGTCTTAAAATCATTGATTGTATTCTAGGAATTAGTAGTAGCTTTTGACACATAAGTAAGGTTTTTAACACCCTTGAGTTGTGAAAAGTATAAAAAGTTGAAAATGATGTTCATCTTCTTTATGCGACAAAATTTAGAAGTAAAACCCATACTAATAGCTAGTTTATAACAGAGCTTTCTGTATATACCTAGATCATCTCATTTGAATATTAGATAGAGAAATGGGATGCATTGAGAGTTACCCACGATTGTTATCATTTGACAATATAATGCTATCTGATAATGTGCAACATGTCACAACACATGATGCCTGTGCGACAACTTGTGGAATAGAGATTGGCAACGCATCTCTCTAGTTTTCACTCCTTGATATTTTTCAACTGGATTTGAATCTCTTTGATTCCTATCAAGTATTCCATGTTTCCAAAATAATATTTTACTCTAATTTGGTATTTAACAAACCATGCTTAAGTAATTTTGAATTAAGAAAACTTAAGATCCCCCTTTTTCCAAATGACAAACCCAATAATCTAATTAGCTTAGTTCAGTGATTACCTTGAATTTCAAAGGAAATTGTAATTTAGTAAGAGTGATATTATAGTAGCAAGTGCCACAGCTATCCAATCGTAAGAGCTATCCAAGCATTGTTTATGCCACTTGGACTTATAATACAACAATCTCTCAATTAGGGTAAAACTCCCACCCATTTCACTTTTACAATGATGCCATCATGTTCACAATTATACATGAGCATAATAATGTATTTTCCATGACAACGATATCATATTTTCAACAATCATACTCAATTTATCCATAACTCTCAACATTAACTCATGCCCATTTTACATATTTTGTAAAACATAAAAGGAGCATTACCGTTTATACATACATGCTTTTCATACTTTCCATATTACCAAAAATACTTAAACAAATCATTTGAAGAATTCAAGTTTTTGATTATCTCTACCCCTAAGTCTTTTTATTCTCTCTAGCATTTTGGTAGCTTTTTTTTAATTCAATATATATATATATATATATATTAATAATTAATAGTAATTAATAATTATAATTAAATTCCTTTAGTATATAATAAATAGAGGTGGCAAGAAATGCCACCTATGTTATTTTAAATTTCAACAATTTCAAAGCACACAATAACTAAATAATTATTATTATATTTATTATATACTATTAAATTTTTAATTACTAATTATTTATATTTGTAGAAATATTTAATTTTCTTATTATTTTTATTATCAAATATTATAATTATTTAGTATTATTAGTTAACTATTATATTTAATTAATTATTATTTTTTATTACATATTATAATTAAAAAAATATTTATTAAATATTAAAAATTAATAGAAAAGATAGATGTGGCGTTTTCTGACTTTAAAAACACCACCTGTCTACTCATTTATTTTAAGAATTTAAAAACAGATAATATTATTTATGAAATATTAAAAAATTAATTAAAAAGACGGTGGAAATGCCACCTCTATCCTATTAGTTAATGAAATATATTTTCATAATTACTAATTTACTTGATTAGTAATTATTATATTTATTTTAAATTATTTATTATTATATTCGTAAAAGTATTTAGTTTGGTATTCTTATTAATGTTAACTAATTATTGTTATTAATAAATATTATAGTTATTACATATCATTAATTAAATATTATTTTTAATTACTTATTATTACATAAGATAATTAATAAATATTATTTATTAAATATTTTAAAATAATATAAAAGAGAGAGGTATCGTTTCTTGACTAGGGAAATGCCATCGGTGTTTTTTCATATTTATAAAGCATATAAAAGTGACAGGTGGTGTTTCCTAACATCTTTTAATTAATTATATAATAATATACTTTACTAATTAAATATTCATAATAAATTTACTTTTAAATATTGAGAAACTTGTATTATCTTATTTTAAATTATTTTTATAAAAATTGAGAATAGTCACCTAAAGGTTCAAAATTTTTAGATATATAATTATTACTGATTATTGTTAATTTCAGAGTTAGTAATGTTTAGATATATAATTATTATTTTTATTATTAAAATTATAATTATTAGGTGCTTTTTTCTTCTCTTGAAATGCCTCTTTATTATTCAGTGACAAGCTGTGGCATTTATATGAGAAACGTTAGCTCTTTTTTTTTATTTATAAATAAAAAATAATTATGACGAAGTGACATTTGAAAAAGAAAACGCCAACTGAGTATTTCAAAGTCTATTTTAGTGACATTTTGTTTTTAATTACTATAAAATACATGCTATTAAATCATATTTATGAAGTGGTGTATCCTTTAATTCCTTAAAGAAACTAGTGATCCAAATAATGTGTATGTATGGGGGAGTCCCTAGAAAAGTTTGGCTTGTTCAAATATAATACTAGAATTCCCGAAGCTTGTATAAACAATAGCCATCAACATATACTAATCACGAAGGCATTGAAAAATAAAAAAAATAATAATTAAGGAACTTTTAAAGTTATTAATTTCAATTAAAAATTATAAAATATTTAAATCTCAATTAAGAACCACAGGTCTTATTTGAAATATAAAACATACATAACTTTACAAAATTGACCTCTACTAAACACTAAAATATACAAAATACTATTGAAATCACTATTGCAACATGGTAATATTGTTAATGTCATTTGAGAAACAAGGAAGCATACTTGAAAATAAATTGTTTTCCAGTATAAAAAAAACTTACTTTTGAAACATTCCAATGTCACTTATCAATATACAAAAGTGATTTAAAAATTTACTAACTTCAGTCAAGAATATAAACCTAATGACTTATCAAAGTTCATATTTATTTATATATAATTACCACTTGAAAAAAAAAGAGAGAGATAACACTGTTGAAATTTCTATCATGACATGGGAATATTGTCAATATTAATTAGGAAATAAGAAACCACATTTGAGATTAGATTGTTTCCCAATATGAAAAAAAAAAAAACCTCACTTTTGAAACATTTCAATATCACTTAGGAATTTACTAACTTCACTCATTGATTTTTTCCTAAGGGACATTTAAGTCAATTCACTTTTTTTTTTTCAATTTCAAGTAAGGACCATAGTCCTTAATTAAAATTTCAATATTTTATGATCTTCAATTGAAATTAATAACCTTAAGAGATCCTTAATTGTCATCGTCCTTTGAAAATTTTCAACATATAATAGCTGGACAAAGCTAACCAGTATAACATGACAATAAGCTTCAACACAATACCGAGACGTGTTTCAAACTTCAAAAGTTCAGAAGTTTGAGTTAAAATTTGAAGAAAAAAATTGCAAACTTTTTTAATCCAACCCTCAAGGCAAGGTGGTCGAGAATGAGAGGCTTCCGCTTAAATACGTTCTGCGACTATAATTTGTAAATATATATAATAGAAATAAGCTAGAGCGTCCAGGTTTTAACTAGGGTTATCTTGGGGCATGCTGGCCTCGCAGAGTTGCATCAACGTGCGGTAAGGCAATAGAGTTTTCTCTTTTCCACACACATTAATCTTGCAACCAAAAAATAAAAGTATCAGCATATCATCCAACACACATATGTATGTATATATTAAAATATTAATTGATGACCAAGTTACCCATGAAAACTGTTATTTTTCCACCGACTTCCTCTCAATTCTTTATTTGTCAAATACGCATATCCCAATATCACAGTCTGATGAGGTTCTGGTGTTAAAAAATGGGTTTAAGCTTAACCTGTTACCTTCATCTGCTTCATCTCTACTAGCAGTATTCTGCAACAACAGAAACGACGAAATGTTCGAGCTGTTATTAGGCGTTCCAAAGCTGTCTTCCTGGCTTAATTGGGAAGCCACAAACTTGTCGAGAGCCCTCCAATCAGTAGTCACTTTCTTTCTGGGCAATGCTGATCCGCTTTGGTCATCCTCGTCGTTATTATTGTTGTTTTTGTTTTCTGATATCAAAGACACTGACGAGCTGGGCCTCTTTGTCAATAGAAGAGACGGGCTTTCTAGCTGAGGAAGCTGTATGAATGGGTCTGATGAGCGAATCAAAGTGCTCAAGTTGTCCACTTCTATCTCTTGCTTGCACATGTAATTGTTTAATGCTATGTTATGACTCTGATGATGAGGCTGCCTTGCGATAATGTCAACCGGATTCCCGACTGTGGTCACTCCACTTGTTTCCTCCAAGAATTGGCTTGAATCCCATCCACCTATGGCCTTCGTTTGGCCGTTCTTTTTTTTCTTGAAAGCTCTGCATACAACCCATCCTTCCTCCTGCACAAACTCACCCTTTTTTTTTTAAGAGAAAGTAAACAAAACTTTCAAGTTTTACATTTGGACGTGATTGGGGTAGTGATCTATACATGAACAATTCTCTACATTCACAAACAAATTGTATACAGTATGTTTAATCAGAGAAAATGGAGAAAAAAGTTAGCGGTGTTAAGATAGCATTTAAAGAAAGCACAAAGTCACATATTTTTGCGTTATATACTTCTCTCAATTCAATAATGTATAAGATCTAATTCGGTGTGGAAGTGTCTAGGTCGTTTATCTATTCTATTATGTTCTTTTTTTTTAAATTATTATTATGATTTGGGGATTGTCTGGCTTTTTTTAAGTTGATCATAATCAATCTCCTAGCTATGGAGGCAAATACAAGGGATCCAAGCATTCTCTCTCATTAGGTTGATACATGTATAAATTTTATTCTTAAGGGTGTTTTTACGACTTTTATGAGTAATAGTCAAAAATACATTTAACCCATATTTGAAATATACTTTTGTCAAATCCAACAAATAATTGAATTTTTTAAATGAACTTTTACTAGATGTAAATTAAAAACCAAACACACACACAAATTTTTTTTTTTTGGTTGCCCACTCAATATTTGGAGCATCACCTTGATTAATCTAGATCCAACATGCATCGCACACCTAGCTATGGTGGGTTTTATCTGGATCAATATATCCTATAATATAGAGATCCAAGGATCTTTAGGACTAGGCGCACATGTGTCCCATAAGCAAAAGTGAGCCGGTTACCATTTAGATCAACCCCATTGGTCACATGAAAATAATTATCATAACTGCTATACACAATGTTTCTTTTTACTGAGCTAAGCCCAATGAATTTGTATGATATGCTGTTGAATACTATTTATTTGTAGGTTTGGTTTTGATAGATGTATTAGTGTAGGTAGTGATTATATATATATAAGAAAAACATTATTTTCTTTAATTTCTGCATATATTTTCTTTAAGTTTTTGTGGGTTTCTCATTTACTCGATTAATCATCAGAAGAGTTCCGGTGAAAAAAGATTAACCAGAAGACTTGTTAAGTAGGATTGGGTGCCCCGGCCCGGTCAAAGAATATTGAAAGATGACCTGCTCAGTATATCTCACAGAATTCAAGTCTACCGTTTACGTTTGCCAAAGTAAAATGGCAGGGAAGTGTGTACCAGAAAAAGGAATGTCATAAAGAAAGTTTCAATTATGATTCGCTTCTGAGAGGAGCGAGACTTTTAACATATGACGTGCTTGGCTGACACAGAAAAATAGGAAGAAAAGAAAATGAGAGGAGAGAAAATAAAAAAAATAAAAGGATATAATTTTTTTTATTGTGTTTGGCTAAGTGAGAGAAAATAGAGGGAAGAAAAAAGTTGTAAATTTTATGCTAACAATAATAACTCTATTATTTATAAAAATATTTATATGATAGAGTTTAATATTTTAATATACTACATACAGTAATAATTTTTATCATATATTATTGACTGAATAAAAACATAACTAAAAATTATTTCATCCAATGATGACAAAAAAATTTTATGCAATTTAAATTTTATTTATTAAATTATTAAATATATAATAATCTTAAAATTTGAAACTACAACCAAATAAGGTACTTAACTAAAAATTAACCTGAAAATTTAGAGTTAACATCTATTTAATTGGTCTAAAAAATAAATATACTGCTTGTTTAATAAAAGTTTATGATCAAAATATAGCTACACTATAAATTATCATGATGAAAACAGAGAGAAGTAAATGATGACAACAAAAAAATTGATGGATAAATTTAAAATAAAATTTTCTCTCCAAAATCTTTTTATATTGGAAAGAAAAGTGGGAGAAGAATAACATGCCTCCCATTTTTCTCTCCCCTCCTCTTTTTTTCTTTGTTACTAAGCAGAACAAAATGTTATTTTTTCTCCATTTTTCCTTCTCACTTTTGTCCCCCGCTTATTTTTTCTTTCTTGCCAAGTATAGTATTAATGACGGTGAAAGTCACGTCTTAAGAAAGCTTGTACGTACAACCTTGGCGAAATATATGTTCACATTTTAGTGGTCCATGAACTATGAAGAAAGCTAACAAAAATGATTCCTTTCCATTAATTAAGTATAAAGCGATTAATTTACAAGTATAATGCAGTAAACTAGAAAAGTGATGTTCTACTTTAGGACCTTATTTATGTGCGTGTCTGAAAGAGGAAAAAGTGAGGGGATTGGCGATCATGGAAAACCAACCACTCATGACATGCGAATAGTTCGATTCACGAAAACTCAGTCGACACGCATAAACAAACAACAAAATAGTGAAAGAGCGAGAAAGGAAATATGAAGAACTTGCCTGTGGAGGTCCGTTCTCATCAGATTCGAGCCTATATTCGTGCATGATCCAGTCAGTTTTAAGCCCGTTCGGGGCTCTTCCTTTGTAGAAAACGAGGGTCTTCCTCATACCTATGAGCTTTCTCTTGTCGTACACCGCCTTGTCTCTTCCTGTCGCCTTCCAGAATCCTGCCATGGTAGCTCTGTTTGTCCTCGTCCCTGTCGGATACTTCTTGTCCTTGTGGCTGAAGAAATACCACTCCTTCTGCTCCTCGTACCCGATCCAACATCTCTCTGTCATATCATTCGTCATTATGCTTTAGAAAGTATGGACAAGCAACGCCGAGAAAACTCAGAACCGAGCATCTTTTTTCATACATAACAGAACTGAAGTTTGAACCAAAAACCTTTAACAAATTATCTACAACGTCGTAATATACCACAACTGGTTGCTTTGAAACAGATCCGCCCAAGACTTATGGGTGCAATCTAGCTAAAGTCCTAATAACAAGCACCGATCCTATAATCCACGGTAAGATATGAAATGAACAGATGTATCCCGGGCCAGCACAAGAAGACATACAAAATATAGATGCAATTCGAATCATGTCGCCATTGATGCATGCGTGTGGATACTTATATAGTATGATACTCGCGAAGTACGGCAGAATTTGACATTGAGAACCCTAACATGGGATGGAATGAACAGAATAAAGAAGAGGACTGTATATATGCTTGTATGTATTTTGTACCTTGAAGATCCCACGGTTCTATGCGATATAGATCGATCTCTCTGATAACATCAAGGTCAATCTTCTGATAAGCAACTTTTTTCTTCAGATAATAGCCAACAAGCTCTTCATCGGTTGGGTGGAAACGAAACCCAGGTGGGACACATGACTCCATCGACTCCATCATAGTAGTAACTGGTACTGCATAAAATTCACCACCTCCATTAATGCCAACCACACTTGACTTTCATCATCATGTATAAATTATAACCAAAGAGCGCCATATAGGTGAATGAGATAGGAGGACCCCGAGATTGGCTTTTAAAAGAAGAGGGGAGAAACATTGTAAAGGGGAGCAATATACTATAAGCGCTTTTAGTGCATAGGTGACAAGTGTCATCAGAGATAATCATCAGCTCATTTAGTGTTTAGCTAACCACACACCAGAAATTTAATCCGAGTAAAGAAATCAGCGCGTGTTAAAAAACAAAACCCATAATTTCAGAAGCAATAATGATTCTTCCAGGGGTTAAAAGATAGAGAGAGAAAGCGAATTATGAGAGTTTGAGTAAGATCGTTTGAAGCCTTAGATCAGGGCGGGTGCGTGGAGGGATCTGTACATGAAACGGACAACTAGAGGCTCGGGCTAATGATGTTGTCTTGTGTTAGTAAATGGTAGGAATGATTCAACAAGAACGGGGTTCCCATTTCATTTGCTATAGATAATTATATTCACAGATAATTAGACGCATAGGGTAATAACTAGGCTATAGCAAAAAAAAAGAAATTGTGTTTTGTTTTAAGTATGAAAACACTAATTTAAATAAAGAATTCTAAAAGAGGTTAAAACAAACTTGAAGCAGGATGAGAAAGTGGCTACGAAAATGTGAACGAAAAGAAGGAATGGGAATATTGATTATAGGGAGTAGCATGGATGACGCTATCAGAAGATGGCACGCGTTTCTGGAAAGAGAAAAGGCTTGTATTGGATCAAGGCCGGGCATGGGAAGGATAAGAGAGAGAGTGAGAAAAGGTTAGCATGATGTCTCGTTGTGGAAACTAAGGCTCTGACTGGGTTGTCTCCTTGTCGAGAATTTTGACGGCACATCTGACCGCTTTCCTCCTGATGGACTCTCACCAGTCACCAGAGAAAATGGCGATTCAAAAGCCCTAAAGCATAACTTTCCATGGGTTCCCGCTCTGTTGCAGCCTTCTATCTTTTGTTTTCAAGCTCTAAATCACATTTTCCACACCCCCCCCATATAACTATAGTAGAGTATTGGGACCTCATACATGCTCATATACAACACAGAGAGAAATATACAAAGGAAGAACATGCATTTCGATAGAACACGATTAGTTATTGGTTGAGATGATGGGAAGGTAAAGAAAGTGATACTAGTTGTTGAGGTGTGCTTACCTGAGTTAATTAGTATGAAGAAGAAGACAAAAGGAGAAATGTGAGAGGTTGGAAACAAAGGAGAAGAAGAGAGAACATGATAAAAGGAAATGGGTTGGAGGAGAATATATAAAAGTTGGGACAAAAGGGGTGGGGTTTGGGTGGGGGAGGACCGCTGAATTGCGCGCATGCCCTTGATGTTTGCCCCCCCGGTGGGTGACGTCACTAACTCCGTTTCTATTTCCTGCTCCACGCTTTTAAAAATATCCTAGAGAAAAATTCAAATTTAAAAAATATATTTGAGTTAAACAATTTTAAAACTGTATTCAACATTCAATATATTTAGGGAAAATCATTTTAAGGTCCCATAAAAGTATTCAAAATACACTGAAGTCTCATAAATTTATCAAATAGCTACTAGATTCTAAGGGACTTACGGGTGAATAAGTTTAAAAATGAAATTACTGATTTGTCCTCTGCCATTAAAAAGAAAATTTTGCTTGAACACAGATCTCACGAAGCTCATGATTAGCAATACTGAAGCTTGATGTATATCTATAATTGTTGATCATGGTAGGGTAATTTTCACTTCCTCATATCTATGATTACCGCCCTTGTCTTCATCTAAGCGAGGTTGGAGTGTTCATTTGCTACTACAGTATTTCATCGACAGAAAATAATACAGTGATTGTTGAGCGAGTAAACGATTTCTCATGCGTTAATGATTTTATTATTATTTAAGGGTAGGATAATGCTTTCTGAGTATACCTACAATCATTTGATTTGCATAGCTAATGGGTATGGATTTATCTGGTATGACATTAATACATTGAAAAATAGCTAATACGAACAACTCTACATGTTGTCAATAGTATATTCTTGTGTTGTCAATATGCTATCGATAGTTGTCGATATACTGAATTGTGCAGGATGACTTGTAAGAATGCTTATACCACTGAAAAACATGTATTATGTTATGTTTTTTTATATAGGAGACATTTTATATATTATTTTCAAGCATGTGATGCAAGCTTCGTTTGTTGCAAAATCTCTATTATGAAACAACGCTGCATCTTGACAATAGTAGATGAATGTGTTGACATTATGCTGTGTGTAGTTGTCAATACACTGTGTGTGGTATAGATTGACCTGTAAGATGGCAAGTTCTTCTGGAAAACATATATTATATTTTTTTTATATAGAGGACATTTTCAAAATTATGACCAAGAAAGTATGCAATATGTTGGGGGGAGTGTTAGAACACGAACAATAAAGGAACGGACAACGTATAAAGAGTTGATAAGAATGATATCATCAAATGAGCAACACATACATGCTCTTGTTTAGCATAACAAATAAGTGGAATACCTTGTGTACATGCATGTGCAGCAATCAAGCTAATTTATGGCAATGCGTACAATTTTGTGGATGAATGTTACAAGTTTATTGCTTAACAGAAGATATATGCCAATAACATGAGGCCGGTAGCCACACATGACTATCCATGTCCATAAGCATTGACAGTGACAAATTTATTAACCTAAACCTGCTTGAAGCTACCAATGACTATCAAGCCTTCGGGTAGGCTAAAGTGTAAAAGAAGGGAATTTCAAATCCAAAACAAAAGGGTTTATCATTGTGCAAGATACCATGAGACTGGTCATACCTCCAAGAGTTGCAAAAATCCTAATCCATGTTAGAAAATATCAAAGACAAGTGTACTTTTTTGTTTATGTATTTGGAATTTATTTTTTTGTTTATTGCACCTAATGTATCAGCATTTGTCAATGAAGAATGCATAGCTTATTAATGAAGTGATAACTTGCAATTAATAGACAATAGCAAGTAGTCAGTCAGTTCTTGTAACTAGTTAATTTTTAAAGGAAATTATTGCACCTAATGTATCAACACTTGTTAATGAAAAATGTATAGCTTGTCAATATAATGATAACCTGTAGTCAATGGCCAACGGCAACTAGTCAACACGTTCTTATAACTGATTGATTTTTAAAGGGAATAACAGCACTTAATGTATTAACACTTGTCAATGACAAATGTATAGCTTGTCAATATAGTGATAACTTGCAATCAATGGCCAATAGCAAGTGGTCAATAGGTTCGTATAACTAGTTAATTTTTAAAGGAAATAATAGTATTTAATGTATCAGAACTTGTCAATGGTAAATGCATAATTTGTCAATATAGTGATAACCACTTCTTAATTACCAACAACAAATAATCAATAAGTTCTTGTAACTTGTTAATTTTTAAAGGGAATAACAGCACCTAGTATATCAGAACTTGTCAATAGTGAATGCATAACTTGTCAATTTAGTGATAACCACTTGTCAATTGCTAATAACAAGTAATCAACAGGTCCTTATAGTTTGTTGATTTTTAAAGGGAATAACAGCACCTAATATATCAGCACTAGTCAATAGTGAATGCATAGCTTATCAATAAAGTGAAAACCACTTGTCAATCACAGTTGGCCACTTGTTAACATTTAATTAATAAAACAAACTATTTGCCACATTTACAAACTTATAATCACCATTCATAATAACATTGTCTAAGACACGAAATAGGCTAACTACATAAAAGGACATGATTATCAATAAAGTTATATCCTAAAGTTCTATCAATAAACTTCTATTTTCTCTTCTTCCTTTCTTGGGATCTTTCTAATAAGGGCATGGCTTCGTGCTCCTTCATGCTGTTACAATGACTCAATAACCACCACAAGAATTCTATCTTCTTCCTATAGAGGTCATCCTGCACCATAAGTCAATCTTATGAGGTACAACAGAAATTTTGCAACAAAAGAAGCTTGCATTACATGCTTAAGAATAATATATAAAATGTCCGCTATATGAAAAAAAAACATAACATAATACATGTTTTTCAATGCTATAAGCATTCTTACAAATCATCCTGCATAATACAGTGTATCGACAACTATCGATAGTATATTGACAACACAAAAATACACTATTGACAATATATAGAGTTTTTTGTATCAGATATTTTTCAACGTATCAATATCGCACCAAATAATCCATACCCATTAGCTATGCAAATCAATTGATCACAGGTATATCCAGAAAGCATTATCCTACCCTTAAACAATAATGAAATTGTTAACACATGAGAAATCGTTTACTCGCTCAACAATCACTATATTGTTTTCTGTCAATGAAATACTGCAGTCGCGGATGAACATTCCGACCTTGCTTAGATGAAGACAAGGGTGGTAATCATAGATATGAGAAAGTGAAAATTACCCTACCGTGATCAACAATTATGAATATGCATCAATCTTCAGTATCACTGATCATGGGCTTTGTGAGATCTACGTTCAAGCAAAATTTTCTTTTTAATGATAGAGGATAAATTAGTAATTTTATTTTCAAACTTATTCACCATTAAGTCCCTTGAAATCTGACAGCTATTTGATAAATTCATGAGATTTCAACGTATTTTGAATGCTTTCATGGGACCTTAGAATGATTTTCCCATATATTTAACCATCCATCAATCAATATATTATTAATATATAATACTTTTTTCATCCCAAATTATAAAATACTTTTATACAAAATCTCATATATCAATAAACCTCATTAAATAAACTTAATAACTTTATTTTTTAAAAAATAAAAATATAAACTTTTAAAAATACTCATAATTTAATATATTAAAAAAAGAATAGATAAAAATTATTTATAAAAAAATAATATTAAAATTAATATATTTAATAAAATTTTAATATATTTAAAATGTTCTATATTTTAAAATTAAAAAACTCTTTTAAAGGTGAGGAAGTAATATTTATAATAAAGTGATGGTATCAATAAATTATAATATATTTTATTTGTGAGATTTTACGCGAAAGAATGTTAAATCATTAATCATTAAGTCATACAACTGGCAGGTGAAGAATAGTGAGGTTGGAAAAGTAAAAAGTGATAAATGGTACGACTTTCTTTCATTTATGTTTTCTACGTATTGATTTCAAATCACATCTAATGAATGAAAAATGCGTCTAATTTGAAATTATATTTTTGTAAGAAATACGAAAATTTAAATTCAAATTAAATTCATCAGTTTCAATTTTTAAATGTATTTATTTATTTTTAGTAATAGAAAATTTAAAATCATTAACCAATAAGTGTATCAATATTAAGTAATACTTCATTTTAAAAATATAATACATTTTCAACCGAATGTTATCTTATAATAAAGTGATGTATTCATTACGGGCACTTTAAAAAAAATGATTACACTTTAAAAGCTAAAAATATTATATATTTTTTAATATTCAACTTTT